CAATACAAATTTAATTACAGTTAATAGCGACATCTCTAGCCAGAGCTGGTAGCTGTAAAGTTACCTAACTGCGTGACGAAATGCTTTCGTGGATTTCCCATAGATGGCGTTACGAGTGAAAAGTCATTGAAAGCCAATTGCAAGGTTCTGACAACAAGCACATAGAAAAATTCGAGAGGTTCGCTGGTTCGTTCCGTGGCTTAGTCGTCATGGCGTCTTGCACGGTTTGCCAAAAGACGTTGGTTCGAATCCGGCCGGGTGGAAGGAATTTTTTCTAAGTGTTCGATATTTGTATTAATAAATAATTTTCATTGATGATAAAGTGCCCCCGTGGCCAAACGGTTACCGTACTGGACTGCCACGAAGAGGTTCCACGTTCGATTCCCGGACCGGGAGAAATATTTGTGTGACATTTATTTCTCTCGTGAGTTTGAGTGTAATTTGTTATGTGTGTTTGAGTTTGCCTAGTAAAAAAATTGTCGTATGTCAATATTTTCTGTAACATTTTTCCAGTACTCTCGTCGCTCCGAGAGCCGGTACAAGGATGGGTGGACAACTGGAATGGACCTAATGGTATCATCGCAGCGGTAGGCAAGGGCATCTTCCGCACGATGTTGGGGTCAGGGACACGCGTAGCTGATCTTGTGCCTGTGGACACGGTCATCAACCTCATGATTGTTTGTGCGTGGCGGACGAGTCTGAAACGGTAAATGCGTTATGTATGAAACACCAACAGTCGCAATAATAGTTATTTGTTACGTAATGCTGCAAAATTTTTGTTTGACGAGTGCTTGTATTGAATCCTAAGCGTAGCGAGGGTTTCATGCCACGAGACGCAAAACAACTTTGCTACCAAGCGAAACACAACTGTTCACCTCACTATAGCGAGGAAAATGGTAGATTTTTTTTTGTAATACTAAATGACGAGACTAACAAGTCGTGTGACTGGTGGTAAGCGACACACCTGTCGCTAACAATTGAGTACCACTCAGAGCTTTAAACCACAAAGATCTGAGGGGCACTGCCACTACGCCCGACGCCCTGAGACATAAGCTGACAAGTCCCATATGCATGTAATTTCACCAACACCCTTACCCTTCAAAACCGTAACACAGTATGCTGACATTACTGCTTGGCTGCAAAAATAGGTAAGGTGGTAGTACTTCTCTGGACTGACTCTTTCACAAGGAGGCTTTACTGCTATTAAAATGAAGGAAAACATTTGAACTATAACAAATCAGTTTTAATAAACAAAATTAGTTATCGTTGTCAATTTAATGTCAACAATATAATAAGAATAAACATACCAGCGAATTTATATTACATAAATAATGTACGACAAATCGCGTAGTTGAACGTGTCAGTTTTTTTTTTGCGTCGTAAGGAAAAGTTAGTGCAGGCCCACAGTCAAGTTCGAATTTCAAACACCTTTTGAACGCTAGCGTGGGAAAAACGCTTTTGCGCGCAGATTCCCAATGAGAAAGAAAGCCTTTCCGAGCTAGTGAGGTGAAAACATCGAGTATATAACCAGAAATAGAGACGCAATGTCATTTAAATTGTTTGCAAACTATTCTGCCATATCATTACGGTGACATCTGCGTTCCAATTGGCCAATCATTTCACACATACTGGTACACATATTGGTCGTCAATATTTTTGGAATATACGGAGACGTACACACAGGTCAGTTGTTCGCGCTGTACTATTTCATTGCAAATTGATTTCAGCGCAAACGAGAGTTGATAGTTAAAAGTGATATAAGGCCCATTTTCCTGATGAATTGCCAGTGATGGATGGCCCTTATTTCGTCTCTACTTCTGGTTATATACTCGATGATAAATAGTTAAAAAAATAAATATTGATGGCCAATTACAAGTTTCCACATATAAATTATTAGATAAATTTTAGAACTGTACACAAACGCTGAGAAGGAAAAAAATCGAAAAGAGAAAACTTGAATTACCTTTTATCTAAAGGAATGAAAAAACTATTTACAGCGTAATCGCTGAAGTTGGTCCGGTGAAGTACCTATTAAAAAAGTCAATATCGTGCCGCCTCGGCACTCTGTTAAAGCACTCGCTTGTTCTAATGAATTATCATTGCTATTTTAATTATTATCATTTTCTAATAAAATGTCGTTTGTTGACAGGGGTGACGGCGTGGTCGTGTATAACTGTTGCACAGGACAACAAAATCCCATTACGTGGCAGCGCTTTGTCAAGACCAGCTTCAAATACATGCGAAAACATCCTTTCAGTGAGTATATTTCATGCTCTTGCCATAAGAAAACGACATATGGTTCTGTACGGAGCAATCCCCGTCACTGTAAAACAACGTTCTAGCGCCACACGTGTTATTCCGCTCCGGTGCTCCGCGCGACGGTCCGCGTATAAATGCGCACTGCTCTGAAACCAGCCTAACTTTTCTATATCGTCTCGGGTCTTGGTGCTTGTGGTACCATCGTTGTTTACGATTTCCATAACACAAAGTGCTTTAGTTATTTACTTTGGAATCGGAGCAACGTATGTGGGTGGTCTAATATTTATTTATTTACATAAGATTCAAGAAAGAAGGATTTCTGTTCGAGAAAGAAGAAGAAATCCTTGAGTTTACATTGCAGAAGTTACCTGCCTTAGTTCTTAAAATTTATTAATTAAAATTAAGAGATGAAATTAACATTATAATTGTTCAATCTTAACCAATCAATTACACCAGTAACTGTTTATGAAGTTTTCTGTCAACGTTGGGAACCAGTACGGAAATGTCATCCGCTTAGAATATACATTTATGCTTGGTTACTACAGGAAGATCGTTAATATAGATCAAAAATAAGAGTGGGCCCAAGACGCTTCCTTGAGGGACACCCATATTAATTTGCCACGATTTTGACCTAAATTTATTTGTATCCCGTTTCTGAGTCAACATTGTCACCTCTACACATTCCTGTCTATCATTGATGTAACTGTTCAACTATGCGAGAGCTGTGCCCCGTATGCCGTAAAAATCACATTCGTGTAATAGTTATAGCATGGGACACTGAACCAAACGCTTTGGTCATGTCAAAGAATTATCCATTATCCAATTTTTTGGTAATACTATTAACTAACTTGAAAGCAGCAGTGACTGTCGATGTGCCCTTCTGAAAGCTGTTTTGGTCAGCATTTAATATTATTGTATTTTTCAAAAAAGCCAGTAAATCTATTGCATAGCTTTTTCAAAGACTTCACTAAGTACTGATATTAAAACAAAGAATATTTCTGGCAGTTTACCCTAAACTGGAGCCCACCGTTAAATGCTTTTGATACATCGCAGGCGAGGTGGTATGGTACCCGGGCGGTGACATCACCAACAACCGACTGAAACATGGAGTGCTGTCATTGCTGCAACATCGCGCACCAGCTATTGTAATTGACCTAGCTTCGAGAGCTTCGGGGAACAAACCTATGTAAGTTGTCTAAGGTCGAATACCGGTATGTGTTGACAGTCAGATACGGTTCATATACAAACTTACTTTATTTTGTAACAATTTATGAACTAGGCTACTATGAGCTCGTACTGCAATCCTAAAGCTAAAGTTGAAGTGCCTGCCAAATTCGGACTATGTATATCTTTACAAAAACTGGGCAGGTTCCGTGCATTATACATTGACTGTTTAAAAATTCCATTTGCCATGACACTGAAGCTGCTGTTAGCTGACAAAATAAGCAATTCTAAAAAAGTTAATCACCGACTTATTTTTTTTTGGAAAATGTTTTTTTGTCACAGTTCCAAAATGATTTCGTTTTTGATTTAAGTTTTATTACATTTAAGTCTAGCAACCTTTTTAATTTTATTGGTGTAAATGGTCAAGTTAATTTTAAATAGTGCCAAATTTGAGCATACCGCAAAATTAAATCAAAATGTGAGTGTTCCGTAATCAAATTCCAAATTCACCAATGTCGTTACAATAATAATGGCAAGAAAAATGACTTATAGTTTTCTTTTAGGACAAATTGTAAAAGTATAGCAAATAATAAATTTATTTTGGAAAATACAATGTCTCCGTTTTTGACAATCGGTTTTTACCTACTTTCAAAACGCGTCCAGGGTAGTATAGCCATCTTTTCTTCTTTATATGATTGATAGTATAGCTCTATCTCGCTCTTTTGTTTTATCCTTATCTGGTCAGAGACAAAACTTATCATCTGTGCCATGCAATTCCCATTCAACTTTGTGTAGGTCATGATACGATGTCAAACAGCTTAGTTTTACCACGCAGTTTAATCTGCGTGAAGCCTAGTTTATTCCTTACAAGCTCATAGTAGGCACCCAGATCTTTGAATAAGTGACACAGTTACCTAAGCAGTCTTGTATATGACAAAACCAATCGTAGCAATACATGTAAAAAGGTGATTTTTGAAATTCAAGGATGATGCGCATCCAAAACAAATTGGAAAAGGCTGCGGCTTGCCTCGAATACTTCACGACACGCCAATGGGCATTTTCCGATGACAACGTGCAAGCCCTGTGTGCTGCCCTGTCGCCCGACGATCGTATGACGTTCGACTTTAACGTAAAGAACATCGATTGGGATGCGTACATCGAATCGTACGTGCTGGGGATCAGAAGGTTCCTGTTCAAAGAGAGCCCGGAAACGCTGCCAAGGTCTCGGACGGTGCTTCGGAGGTGAGCTTTTTACGTAACCCTATTTTTGACATTTAACATATTTACCGTGTCAAACCAATATAATGTAATATCAAAAACAGCATTTTGAAAAATGCTGCGTAAAGGATTATTCGATTTTTTGTATGTTTTTTTGATAACAGAAAAAGCTACATTTAACTTCCGTTATATACCTACATTAGATATTAAAGAAACCTATCTAGCCATTATAATTTTACTTTGGGAAGATTTTTTATTGAAAAACGAATAAATTTTTTTCCCTCGTTAACAGCCGAAAGATTCTGGTTGTTATGAAATTATAAAGCACTATTGTACGTTGCAGTGTTTTGATTGAACACGATAGAATGTCGTTTTTTATTGTTAACATTTCAACTGCGACAAATGTTAGTAGACCCCCGCTCCTAAGACATTTGCGCGATCTGAGAGTTTTGGGTAACTCAGGCACTCCGCAACACTGTACTGCATTTCGCGCGTGTAAAAGTGAAAGTGTTATGTCAAAATAATTTTACATTTTAAAACTTAGTGTAATTTAGTTTGTAATATGTCATTCAAAATCACCTTCAAAGTTGAAATGTCAGAGTATAATAGTATCGCATATACAGGGTGTAATCGTTAAGTGGTACCAGGTGATCATTCCATAAATATAAGGGGTATCAAAAAGCTTTAAACTGATATCGAAATTACGTTATCTAATGAGTAAACCAACATCAATAACTTTTTAAAAATAAAACTAGAAATATTCAAAATCTAACATTAAACGCTCCCATACATTTAATATGACAGTTGTAGAGAGGCTTTAGTTTTCCTACACTAAGAGATGACAATAAGTTAACAAATAACAAAACTGCTATAAATAACATATTAAAACTACCTTTTAGGTAATTGAATAAAAATATAATTATTTGGCCAAGTGTGAGTTGTCCATAAAAATTAATAAAATTTGGCAATTTATTATTTAGAGATGATTGACTCAGTTTCAGTGCAAGGGATGAAAAAAAACGGGGCAGCAAATGTGGGTCAAATTTAATTTAAAAAATTTTCATACAAAATTAGTAACATTTTATTGTCCCGATTCTTTTCGTCCAATACAATAAAAAATTTCTTACAAGAAACTGAGTTTATCAGCATTAAAAACAAATTAGTCAATTTTATTCATTTCGCATAAAAAACATTTCATTTGACCAACATCTCCTGTCCCCATTTTTTTTTTTTCGTTTTTGAAAAGTGCACATTTCACCTCGACATCACCTTATGGAAAGCGACGATGAGGTCGAGCATGCACACTTAAATAGTGCCTACAAGACTCCTTCGCAAGAAAACCTTCAAGAAACTACGTTGTTATTATTTCCGTATCAAAAAGACATGTATTGTTTTCAGGTTACACATAGTCCACATCGTAACTCAAGTGGCGACCGTCTTTTTCCTATGGAGATTTCTGTTCTCCCGCTCGAACGCGTTGCGCAGCATCTGGCGACGCATCGTGGAGTTGTTAACGAGAGCGGCGCGCCTTTTAGCCATAGCCTGATGCCACGCGCCATTAATTCCCTTGACACTTCGTTGACAGCGCCCCTACAGTTAGCAAAACGCTTATACAAGCTGCGTTGAACAAAATTTTGTTAAATTGTCACCACTTGTTCAACTATGGAGCTCGATTAACTGAACTAGCGCGAGTTTTTTTCCTAAAAATACTGTTGAAAAATAAATTCACATCAGTCCGTCGTGGCCACGGGATCTTACAACGCCCGAGACATTGGTTTGTTTGAAAAGCAATTATACGCGATTTAGTCCGAAAAACAGTTACAATGTCAACGTGTAACAATCGCGAAAACCTAACAAGGTAACTTACCGATCTAGTTGAAAAAATAAGCCGTAGTTCAGTTGACTGTACTTTACGTTTGAATAAGTGGGAATAAGACATTTGAATGTTAATTTTTCACGCTGAATTACAGCGCCCGATCGATACAAAAAGTTAAAGACATTATAAGCAACGGCAAATATATTTAGGAATGTTTTTCTCTTCAATTTCTAAGCTTAAGGGGCCGCCGTACCTTGCTTCCTTTAGACGCTGCGCTATATAAAATCTGAATAATGATACGGCGTTGACAACCAAAAAAACTCAACACAAACATGTATAACAGACACATGGAAGAATTTCGTTGACCTGCTAACTCAACTCGTAGCTCAGTTGACGGAGCGACGTTACGGTACACCGTGGTCGCAAGTCCTGTCCGGTCGAAGGAATTTTTCTTTATATTTGATCTATGTGTTAACAATTATATGAATGAAGATTTTATATCGCGTATTGTCAGTTTTCAAGCTATTTCGTAAGATAGTAACATAGTTACTAAAGCTACAGTAATGCTAATTCCAAATAATTTTGTACTATAATTCAGCTCAATGAATATTCAAAAGGTTCAAACCTCTGTTATTGCATAGATATAATATTGTACAATAGTGTAAACGCTATGCAATAAAATAAAAACACTTAAGTTTCAACTAGATTCATAGAAATGCAGTAGCATTAACGACTGTAGAATATAGAAACAACGTTTGTTCGCGTTTGTGCAGTTGGCAGGATTGATAGATTTTTCTTTTTCGTCCAATCGTCCTTTTCTTAACTGACTTTTTTTCATATATAAAGAAAGGCAGCAGTATGATCGTACTTCTCACTCAGTTACTATAAATATATCAAAGACGATAGCCTTGATAGTGGCGTCCACTCTCTTCACCGTTTAAGATAAATGGTTAAAAAAGGTCACAAATATATAATGGGTGGCATTTTTGGTGACCGGGACAATAAGAACCCTTTAATAAAAATTCAATGTAGGAAATATATAACCAGGAAAAACAAACAGACGAGAAGCGTTCAAAAATCATTCATAAATTCAACTAAGGATGTGTTCTTTTTGAAATGGGTGTTGGATTGAACAACGTGCGCTGGATGCTAGGCGCGTATAATGATTTTGGCGCCCCTTGAGACTGCCGCCCAGGGCAAGGTGCCCCGGTTTGCCCCCGCCAATATCCGGTGCTGGACAATAGTGAGTGAGAACAGTAAGCAAGTTTTTATTGAATTGAAAGTATAAGAAAAATAATATATCTAATTATATTCGGAAGCTGCACAAACGATAATGCACGATAGAAAATAAGACTATAAAGTAACACTGTTTATTGAAAAATATACATCAAAATGAACTAAATACGTTCAGTAACTATAGAAATATGAATTTTCATATAAGCATGGATTTTTGACAAAAATCACTTTATTAAGTACATAATAATCTGTTGTTAAAATGGGGTCTAATAGCCCTTAATAAAAAAAATATATATTGTTCCGTATTTCTGTGTATCTAGTTGAAGTAATTCCTAATAATCTAATTAATAACAAAATACGTGTTTAGTCCTCAGTCATTGCTAGAGTACCAATAGTTAAATAAATATAAAATTTTTAGAACCATTACAATTTACAGTTTATTTAACGTCCAGGTTTTATTTTCAAACCACGATTACGCAATTTAGGGTGTGAAAGCTCAATATAATAGCCAAGATTAGGTATTAACTAGTCAGTCAACTCAATTGCAATAAGCACTTGTTTAAATGACAAATTTCCAGTTCAAACACGATTTATTGTTGTAATGGTGGCTTCCCACGGTCCGTTATTGCACGGGCCGCGCGCTCTTGAAGTTACCGATGCACGGCGATCCGACTGGCCTTTACAGTCGAGTCCGCGCCGGCACGAGCGGCATACTTCCCACGGCGCGTTTGCGCAAGCCGTGAAACCACGGGCCGTGGGAAGCCAACTTAAAACAGTTATTAGTAATTTTATTAAACGAAATAATAATGATTAGGATTGTGGAGTGAACGATTTGGTAGTGGGTGTAGATTTTATCCAATATTGACGGTTTTTATCGAGGATTTTCGTGTAGAGCGATATGGTATGGTTAAAAGACAACGTGACCTCTGTCAGTGAGGTATGTAATAAATTGTTGATTCTTTTTTATTGATTAAGAACTATAGTCTATTAACCTTGACAATGCGGCAGGTGGTTAATTGTGATATCACAGGGGTTCATGTGATTGGTCAGCTTGAATTTCCTACTGCATTTTTAATGCGAATGAACTGTATAATCCAGATAATCAATTCATTCAGTGTCGCTATGTCAAAAACGAAAATTAGTATACCTTGAGGCAATTCTTAAGGTCACAAGTTCAAAGCTCGATAAAATTAGATGAGGGTAATCCACATCGGTAGGTTAACTACGTATTGCTGGCCAAACAGCGTTACGCAAATTCTTGCTATGTTGTTCTTCAAAAGCTGTTGAAATTTCATGCCTGGATTCTATTTCAGAATCTGCATCTGATTGAAGATTACAATCTTGATCTGTAAGAATTTGTCCCACTGTCCAAGCTTTAATTGCAAAATGTCCAAAATACATCAACAACATAGCGTAAGAACTAATACAGTAAATATGCAATAGCATAAGAAACTAATACAGTAAA